TTGAAAACAAAGAAGAAATCCTAAGCAAGAAGGAGAAGGTGGCTCAATTCATACATAACGAAGACCACATACCAATGAAGACCAAACTTTATTAAGGCAAAGAAAAATCACCAAAAGAGTTTCAAGAAAGATGATCACAAGAAAGCTACTACTGTATGAATTTGAAATACTCCCCGTGGTCCTCAATAGATATCCGACAAATTCTGGAAAGTGGTCAAAAACCACTGACTCAGCCTGAGACACGAAATAATCCCAAGGCTAGTTCATTTGGTGAGACAGAGTTGAGTCTCAAGAGATGTTATTGTTTCTCATCGAAAACAAAGAAGAAATCCTAAGCAAGAAGGAGAAAATGGCTCAATTCATACATAACGAAGATCACATACACAATGAAGACCAAACTTTATCAAGGAAATGAAAAATCACCAAATCAAGAAAGATAATTACAAGAAAACTACTACTGTATGAATTTGAAATACTCCCCATGGTTGTCAAAAGACATCCGACAAATTCTGGAAAGTGGTTAAAAACCACTGACTCAGCCTGAGACATGAAATTATCCCAAGGCCAGTTCATTTGGTGAGACTCAGCTGAGTCTCAAGAGATGTTATTGTTTCTCATCGAAAACAAAGAAGAAATCCTAAGCAAGAAGGAGAAGGTGGCTCAAATTAAGAGTCTCTAGAATGCATTTGACAAATCAATTCCACCAAAACTACTGCAGACAACCATTTTAAGGTGCCAAAAAGTTTACTTACAGTGAGCATGGGCCAAAACGTGGCCTTTAGTTCCCCAAAAATATTAGCTGGTGACTCAAATCGCAGCAAGCCTACAACAACATAATAGACACTGTTCCAAACTGCTGCCCATGCAGTTTGGTCGAACAGCACTTTTGCTGGAACTACCCACCAATCCTGAAATGGAAAAAGGGCCTGTAGAAAAAAACATACATATTGTTTCAGCTACCTAAGGCGTATGATAATCGAAATTCATAGCCTAACATACGACATGGATAAAACAAAGGCATCACTCAAATCAGTTTATTCGATAATCACCTCACAGAATTGGTAGTAGTAATGTGAGAGAGATCCGTGCAATGTAAAGCCGACAAGGCCGGATCTGAACATACGAGCACGATCAAATTCGAAAAGAGGTTTTCCTTCACAGCACTGCTAGTCAGTACAGTACAAGCGCATTGGTAAGCAATAGGTGAGTTTCATGTGTACTTATATATAAATATAAAGAAAGACAGAGAGAGAGAGAGAGAGAGAGAGAGAGAGAGAGCACCTGTGCAATCCAATCTCCAAGAGAGTAAACCACCCCACTGATCACCATCTTGGCAAGAACAGGGTTGGTCTTAAGAGCTTCTTCATAAGCAATCCAGTTATGTTGGGGAGCGTATCTGAGAATCTCAAAAAGTGTCCATCCCTGAAATATGACACAGGAAAGGACCAGTCTTATAAGCATGCAGTTTTACAGGCATTTACATAAACATCAGTTGGATTTGAATGAACATCAGTATCTTACCCCCCACCCACCCAACCAAAAATAAATAAAATTCCACAATACTCAACTCCATGCAACAAAATCATGCATCCAATATCGGGACTAGAGCACGTCAAAATTTAGACTAAAGCACATTGAGATATGCCACTATATCTACGTCACAGCTTACGGAGAGCCAGAAGTATACAAGACATAAAAAAACAAAAAGAACATGAGAGAAAAGAATACCCATACTTGCAGAGGACATTTTCGTTGCAGAAAATTACAGAGAATAATTATTAACATCAATTGACAAAGTTGTCTTCATGGCCTACAGCGAGTTGTAGAGAAACATCCCATGATTGCCTAGAACTCAAAATATATTGACACCTTACCAATAGTATGATTTAAAACAATAAAAAAAGATCATAGAGTAGCAAACTCTAAAGGTAGTTATTGGTCCCTACAAACAATCCACAATATTCAAGCCCAGAGAACAATTTTTGAAACATCAAAATATTACGAATTTTCTTGGAAACTATGATTAATCAGAGTTACTTTCATGAACCCAATCTATGTAACATTAAACTAGAAAAATTAAAAAGAATCGTGCATTATACCTAGTTAAAATCGATGTTAATGTACAATTGGAACAAGGAGTCCAATATTCGTATTAGCTCAAACCACAATCAAATGGTTAAAACGCTAACCGAAATCTGTTTCAAGTGAAAAATAACTTCACCAGAGAGAGGACGGGGTAATCAGGTAACAGGGCATCAAATTGAATAGCAATTTTGAAAATGACCAGCAGAAGAAATCCTATGCACAACATACCAAATGACAACAATTAATCGCATCCAACAAAACCTTTACCAAATGACAACAATTAATCACATCCAACAAAACCTTTCTTAAAAATCGAAGAGAGAGAGAGAGAGGAGCCTTACATGCCAATAATCGTGGTCAATGGTGAGCAGCTTGGTGATAGCAAAGGAACCAGCAGCAAGAACAATTGTTGCATTAATAGCTCGATCCACCAACTTATCTCCATCTTCCTCAATCTCGAGAGAAGACGAAAAAGAAGCAGAAAAACCCCGAACATCCATAACTCCACCCTCAAACGACAACCTTCCTTCATTACTAAACCCCCCAACCCGGTTCAAGCTTTGCTCCTCATCCGCTTCCCTGTTAATCCTCACCATAACACCATCTTGCTGGTCTACGGAGTTGTTACTCTGAACCGGAATCACATCAAGCTCATCAGAAACCGAACCCAAAGCCCAATTCCTCCTTCCCGCATAAAAATTAGAGCTCGGAGCTCTGCAAAATTTGGGGTTTTGAGTTCTGAAACTTTGAAAATTGGGATCCAGAAAGCCTTTGAAAGAGTGAAGAAAAATGGGTTTCGGCTTTGATTGCTTCATGGTTTTTCTGATAGGGGCAAAGGTTTGGGGTACAAGGCCATTGACTGAAGCCATTGAAGAGAACGGGGGGAAAGAGGGGATGATACCCTACGCTTATGGATAAACAATCGTTGAATTTGGGTACAAAGAATGGGAGGATAGATGGGCGGTATGGTTTATTGGGAAAGCGAATTCCCGAGATTGTGGGGTCCTATCCCAGGGCTTTGTGTGATGATCGTGGAATTGGGTACAACAACCAGAAAAATATTGCGTAATATAAATGAGGCTCACATTATAATCTTGTGGATTATAAGTAATGAAACTGAGGCACACAAATTATTTGAGTACAATTTTATATCGAATTGGCCTCTCTTTCTCTCTCACACACACGCCCCTTTTTGATGTATTCAATAAGGACCACTTGCACAAACTGGTGAATAACTGGGTCCTGAGTAATATCTGCCCCAAAAAATGCCCTTTAATTTCATTTAAGAAAATAAAACAATGAGAAAATGTTTTGATAGGGCTTCAAGTAAAACATTTTCTACCCCATCAAGGTATACTGTATATTCACTCCCTGGACAAAACACTTGCTAGGATAGGTCTTAAATCCTTAAATTTTGGGGATGTAGTCTCTACAACCCACAAAATGATTACTGTAGATTTCTTTTTGGAAAAAAAAAAACTGATGCCTCAATATTGAATAGAGGTCATCCAATTTTTGAAGGCTAAATCTAAGTGTCACAAAACTCATAATTTAAAATATCCTTTTTAAAATAATAATCTAGTAATTCTTATTTGGTTCCCAAAAATTGAGGCCATATACTAAACAATCAAATCAGAGCCCGCCTCAAAATTTTTACTAGAAGTGGTTGTTTGGATGCCCAAATATCCTCAAATTGATGATCTCAACATCAATATGTACGGACATGAGAAAAAAAATTGAATTTTATGTTTTGGAAATAGCGCATCTTGTAAATTTTTTTAACATAATTTTTCAAGATTTTCAAGTTTCATAGATTTGCTTGATCTACACTATTTTGAAGCTTTAAATTTTATAATTAAAGATAAAAACATATTTTAAGGCTATCACAAAGATCTCCGGTATTGAAACAACATTTCTTGATACTATTTGCAGGTAGGCTCTAATTTGATTTAGAGCT